GGTTTGCGCCCCCTCTTGACATTACTCCGACGGTAGGACCCCGCATGAGAATATGTTTAACTTACCCTTTGCCCTTTCCTCTTCCTCCTGGGGCTCCCGCCTGAGACTTCCTCACAATTCACTCACAGACGAGGCTCCCGCTCGAGACTTCCTCCATATTCATCTCTCAAGAGCCCAAAAGAAACGACAATTGCACGTTGCGGATGACCCGCTCGGATTCAAACATGAAGTGCGGGCCCTATAGGGAGGGGGCTCCCGCTTGAGACTTCCTCACAATTCACTCACAGACGAGGCTCCCGCTCGAGACTTCCTCCATATTCATATCTTAAGAGCCCAAAAGTGACGACAGTTGCACGTTGCGGATGACCCGCTCGGATTCAAACATGAAGTGCGGGCCCTATAGGGAGGGGGCTCCCGCCTGAGACTTCCTCACAATTCACTCACAGACGAGGCTCCCGCTCAAGACTTCCTCCATAGTCAAGCCTCAAGAACCCAAAAGTGACGGCAGGTGCACGTTGCGGATGACCCGCTCGGATTCAAACATGAAGCGCGGGCCCCAATAAGGAGGGGGCTCCCGCCTGAGACTTCCTCAGAATTCACTCACAGACGAGGCTCCCGCTCGAGACTTCCTCCATATTCAAGTCTCAAGAGCCCAAAAGTAACGACGGTTGCACGTTGCGGGTGACCCGCTCGGGTTCAAACATGGAGTGCGGGCCCCCATAGGGAGGGGGTTCCCGCCTGAGACATCATAGCAAATCACTCACAGACGAGGCTCCCGCTCGAGACTTCCTCCTTATTCATATCTCAAGAGCTCAAAAGTCACGACAGTTGCACGTTGCGGATGACCCGCTCGGATTCAAACGTGGAGTGCAGGCCCCATAGGGAGGGGGCTCCCGCCTGAGACTTCCTCACAATTCACTCACAGACGAGGCTCTCGCTCGAGACTTCCTCCATATTCAAATCTCAAGAGCCCAAAAGTCACGACAGTTGCACGTTGCGGATGACCCGCTCGGGTTCAAACATGAAGCGCGGGCCCTATAGGGAGGGGGCTCCCGCCTGAGACTTCCTCACAATTCACTCACAGACGAGGCTCCCGCTCGAGACTTCCTCCATTTTCAAATCTCAAGAGCCCAAAAGTCACGACAGTTGCACGTTGCGGATGACCCGCTCGGATTCAAACATGAAGTGCGGGCCCCATAGGGAGGGGGCTCCCGCCTGAGACTTCCTCACAATTCACTCACAGACGAGGCCCTGGCTCGAGACTTCCTCCATATTCAAATCTCAAGAGCCCAAAAGAAACGACAGTTGCACGTTGCGGATGACCCGCTCGGTTTCAAACATTAACTGCGGGCCCCATAGGGAGGGGGCTCCCGCCTGAGACTTCCTCACAATTCACTCACAGACGAGGCTCCCGCTCGAGTCTTCCTCCATATTCATCTCTCAAGAGCCCAAAAGTGACGAGAGTTGCACGTTGCGGATGACCCGCTCGGATTCAAACATGAAGTGCGGGCCCCATAGGGAGGGGGCTCCCGCCTGAGACTTCCTCACAATTCACTCACAGACGCGGCTCCCGCTCGAGACTTCCTCCATATTCATCTCTCAAGAGCCCAAAAGTGACGGCAGGTGCACGTTGCGGATGACCCGCTCGGATTCAAACATGAAGTGCGGGCCCCATAGGGAGGGGGCTCCCGCCTGAGACTTCCTCACAATTCACTCACAAACGAGGCCCTGGCTCGAGACTTCCTCCATATTCAAGTCTCAAGAGCCCAAAAGTAACGACAGTTGATGACCCGCTCGGATTCAAACATGAAGTGCGGGCCCCATAGGGAGGGGGCTCCCGCCTGAGACTTCCTCACAATTCACTCACAGACGAGGCCCTGGCTCGAGACTTCCTCCATATTCAGGCCTCAAGTCAGCGAGTAGTGATGATGATGATGATGATGATGATGATGATGATGATGATGATGATGATGATGATGATGATGATGATGATGATGATGATGATGATCGTTCGATGCCGTTGATGGTGAGTGATCGTGCGATGGTGATGGTGATGCTGATGGTGATGATGATGAGTGGGGAGTGATGGTGATGGTGATGATGATGCGGAGGAGGAAGCAAGGAGGAGCAGAGGAGAGGGAGGAGGAGATCCTGCGCGGCGCGGAGGGTGCAGAGAAAACAAGAACCCCACTCAGGATGTGGGGAACTAAACAAGGGATAAAAAAAGCCAAGCGGTGTTTGAATTCGAACAAGTTGGAGTCCTGGAGCCAACACACATACCGACTTTCAGCAGACGATGGGTAAACCTCAGGCGATCGGAGACGCGCCCAAGCAGCACCACGGCGGCAGCGCCACGGCCGCAAAAGGAACACGGAGTGCCCCTCAGCTGCGATGGCTGCAAGGACCACACGAGGAGGGAGAGCTCCCCGCGGAGGCCTGGCCCCCGGCTGGCCCTCCTATGAAAACCCTGGAAAGCCGTCCATCCTCGAAGATCAGGGAGGGAAGGGGGAGGGAGGAGGGAGGGAGTGAGGAGGAGCAGGGGGAGGGGGAGGGGGAGGAGGAGGAAGAGGAGGAACGGGGCCCATCCCTCTAGGCCCCGTCTCTGAACCGCCGGGACAGCGGAGAGGTCACGACGGCGCCCCTCCAATCCACGCGCCACGAAGACATCACAACGGGCGCTTCTGCTCCGCTTCGGGTCCTCAGGCCCAGGCCCTCATTTGGCGTAGAGGTCCGATCGTGATCTCTACCATGCTGAATTTTGAGCAAGGCCGACGATTCGAACTAGACCGACGAGTCAAGTCGGAGCTGGTCTGAGGAATCCGATCGGTCCGATGAGTTGAGCAGGTCCGCGGAATGGCGGAATGGAGCCGTTCTGACGACTGGAGCCAGTCCGACGACTGGAACCGGCCTGATGACTGGAGCCGTTCCGACGAGCGCAGAAACCGAGTGGAAGATCCACTCGACACCGCATCTCTCAGCGAGCCGCAGCTGATCTGCTCCTCCACTCCTCCCTGCCACACTCGACATCCATCCAACCTTCCTCGCCGCCCACTCCTCGCCTTCCCTCGCTCCCTCATCCTCCTCCTGCCTTCTCCTCGCTTCCTTACTCGTCCTCGCCCGGTTTTGTCAACACAGCTTTGTTGCTTATCATCGTCCTTGTCCTCCTCCTCCTCCACCTCTTCCTCCTCCTCTTCCTCCTGTGCAAAGCAGCTGCTCCCGCCTCAGGTGCACAACTCGTGACCGCCCTCATCCTCCTGCTCTTCGTTTCCACTGTCCCCCTGGTCATCATTCATCGTCCTCCGCCAACTCCTCCTTCCTCCAACTCCTCTTCCGCCGACTTGCCATGAAGGGCCTCGACGATGGGTGGGAGTGTGAGCTGATCCAGGGGGAACAAGGCGAGAAGTTCGGGCTTCAAACCATGCAGAAGCCATCCTTGGCCCTGTCTCCTCTTAGAGGCTTCCTGCAAGAATTGATGCTTCTCTTCTTCCTTCAACTCCTCCTCCTCCCCCCCCCTCCTCCCCCTCCTCCCCCTCCTCCTCCCCCCTCCTCCTCCTTCTCTTCCTCCTCCATCTGGCTTCGACCCACTGATCCCCGCAGTCCGTCGCGCGCTGCCGGCCGTGCCGCCTTCCACCACGCTGCTGCGCCCCTGGGGGGCCAGCAGAGTGATGGCCCACGCAGACCCAGGGCAAGATCAATCAGCGTCGAGCCGGGAGCTCGGATCGAATCGGCATGTGCGTCGGATCGGGCCGCATCGGCACGGACTCGAGACAGAATCGGATCGGCTGCACCAGGGTGCACAACAGCGCCATGCAATCATCGCACCGCATCGGGTCACCGGGACATAGAGATCAAATCGGATAGAACGTTCCGAAATCGAGATCGCAGTGGGCCCTGCAGGGTGCTTGCGACAATCTTGGGTGGGTCGGGTACACGTCAGTCGGAAGAAGTAGGTGCAAACATGAAAAAGGAAGGCGTTGAAAAAGGATTGGGCATCCGCCCGCCCCCTGGAGAGGAGGGAGTGAAAACGGCTAGACTCTTGAAGTAGGAAGGCGCCGAAGGTACATTAGCAATTGTGCATCCAAGAATAACGACTTTCTTTCAGCGACTGGCGTGTACGTCACTGGGCATGTGTCTATCAGCGGCGGGCCGCGCCTCGCGGCGGCGGCTCGCCCTGCACGAGGCGCCGGCATCTTCGCAGCCTTGCGAAGCTTTCCCGAGAACACCCCCACTGCGGCCAGGGCCGTTCACAACGGTGTTTAAAAGGCCATGGCGTTTACAACGAACAAGGACAAGAAGCCCAGAGTTCGAAACGAACGTTGAGAACGAAGCTGGCGCCAAACGAAACTGAACGACGAATCGGGGCGGTTAAAGCACCAACGAGAAACGAAACGACACAACAACGAACACACAACGGAAAGCAACTCAAAGGCCCAAGCAAAGCTGAACAGCGTTGTGGTCGGGCCTTGCATAGCAGCCAAGCCCGAAGGCACGAAGCGCGCTTGTAGTTACGCATCGGAGACGGCCCCGGCGATAGTGACAACAATAATAATTCAGAGTTTGGTCTCACCCGACCCACTCCCCCAGTCGCTATGCCCGACTGCCTGCGGTCGCACGGTCGACGCGACCTTGGCCTGCAGTGGCGGGGGGCATGCGTTTCCCCTAGGTGTTTTTGACGAAATCCCGAGAGCACCAATCCACAGAACCGCCCCGCGCTCCAGGAGACCTCCTGCGGCATCCGGAGGTCTCCCGCAGCAGCGGAGACACGGGGCCTCCGAACAGTCCTCCCGCGGCCACGAGGCGGCTCCAGCAGGTCTCGGGAGAGACCTCCGAGCGCCTCCTCGAGCCGCTGCATGCCCAGGGCACATCAGGAGCAGCGCTCCTCGAGCCGCGAGCCGCCCTCCCCGGGGGCGGAGAGCCTTGATGACCTGCCTGGACTCCGCGATCATGGCCTGCTTCTCCTCGATCTTTCGCTGCAGTTTGTCGATCTTGGCCTCCCGGGGGCGCACGCGGGGGGAATCCGCGGACGCGCCAGCGCCACCGCTGCGCAGCTGTGAGTGCCATTGGCAACTGGCGCTCCCATCGCCCCTTGCGCTGAGGGAAGGAGGCGGCCTTCATCTGTTCCTCTTCCTCCTCCTGTTTCCCCCTCCCCCTCTCTCTATCTCTCTACCTCTCTTGTTTTTGTTCGTTGCGTGTCTCTCTCTGTCTCTCTCTCTCTCTCACTCTCTCCCCTGACACTCTCCCTTATTGGCGTCTAACCTCCTCCCCCTCCTCGGGCGCAGACGCGCGCACAAAGGCGCGCACGCGCACACAGGCGCGCACAGGCGCACTCTGCTGGCTGCGCTTGCCTGCTGGAGGGGGAACGGTGGCGTGGGGCCAGCCCACGGGGGAAGCCTCCACCTTGCATCGGCGATACCTCGCCGATGGATCGGCGACGGCCCCCCGATAGTGAAACAGCACGTTGCTGAGCGGGGTGGGGCATCGGGCCTCAGTCGGCACTGAATGGGCGATTGTGGGTCGATGCTCCCCCTCTGAGCCAGTAACCCCCCCGTCGTGGCCCCTGAGCTTGCCTGCTTCTGTCCACTGGTCCGCCGACGTGCTGGCCCTGGCCGGCGTTTGGCCCAGGGCCCCTGGCTATTTCGCAACGGCACGGCGTTTGGCCCAGGGCTATTGTCTCTAGGCCGCGTAAGTTTGCGCATCGCGCCCCACGATGCGCGACGAACGCACATCTTCGCGCCCGAACGCCGCCTCCCTGGAAGAAGGTAGCTGTCTGGCCCAGGCCGTAACGCGTGAAGCATGATCATCCTCAGGCCCCTGGGGGGGGTGGCATCGTGATCTTCCGCCAGCGGCGGCGGCGGCAGTAGGACCCATGAGAGGAGATGGACTGGAATAGGGTGAGAATGATGTCATGATAAGGTGGGCTCAAGATACTTTCCAGGATGTCCAAATATCTAACGGCGCGGCCAGCGCGGAACATTCGGAAAGATGGGAAAGCCAGGGGGCTTCTCGGAAGCCCTCGCGCCTTCTGAAAAGTCTTCTGTGTCTTCGGGGAAGGCTGAGAAACTTCTCAAAGGCCCGAGGCCTTCTGAACCTTCTGAGAAAGCCCTGGGCTCGCCGCCGAGATATAAATACATGTGCACACCCCCCAGGGGCCTGAATGTCATAAACATCATGGAAGCCTCACGCGGCAAATTGAGACCCCCATGTACGTCAGACCCATGTCGGATTCACGTCGGATTGCGTCGGAACTATGTCGGATTCACGTCGGAACATCGCACAGCGAACGTCGTCCCATACGTGACGGGGCGGACCTGTGAACTACACAATACAGGATTGCGCCCCTTGCGGGACCTCAAAGATGTGCCTCTTAGCGAACATGTCCATAAAATAATGTATCCGTATCCACCGCCTGCCGAGGTCCCCGAAGATCAAAAGGCCATGGACGGATCCCCGCCTCGGCGGTCAGGCCTGCCGACTCAGGTCACCTCGCCCGAACGAGCAAACCGCTGAGCGACCCCAAAAACAGCACCGACTGCGCCGACATTGAAGCGTAGGCTTCCCGCGTGAGGCAGCGCGCAAGCGCTTTCGATTCCAATGTGGCGTGCTGCTATGGCGGCCCAGGTAAGCCACCGCGTAAGCCTAGGTCGGGACGAAAAGTTGAAAATACTCTTTACCCTGCGACGTAGCCAACCCTTTCTACACATGTGGCGATAAATTCAGGACCGCTCAATGCAAGCCCCCACAGGGGGCGGCGAGGTCCCGAGGTGGTCTGCGTATGACGTACCTCCGCTGGGCCTTCCAGGAGCCAACGAAAATGGCGACAGTTGCGCAGACCGCAAGCCCCCCAGGGGGCGGCGAGGTCCCGAGGTGGTCTGCGTATGACGTACCTCCGCTGGGCCTCCCAGGAGCCCACGAAAATGGCGAAAGTTGCGCAGATCGCAAGCCCCACAGGGGGCGGCGAGGTCTCGAGGTGGTCCGCCTCCCAGGAGCCCACGACAGTGCCGACAGTTTCGCAGATCGCAAGCCCCCCCAGGAGGCGGCGAGGTCTCGACGTGGTCCGCGTATGACGTACCTCCGCTGGGCCACCCAGGAGCCCATGAAAATGGCGACAGTTGCGCAGATCGCAAGCCCCTCAGGGGGCGGCGAGGTCCCGAGGTGGTCTGCGTATGACGTACCTCCGCTGGGCCTCCCAGGAGCCCACGACAGTGCCGACAGTTTCGCAGATCGCAAGCCCCCCCGGGGGCGGCGAGGTCTCGACGTGGTCCGCGTATGACGTACCTCCGCTGGGCCTCCCAGGAACCCACGAAGACGCAGATCGCAGCCCCCCAGGGCACAGCGAGCTATAGTAGTGATTTGCGTATGACGTACCTCCACTGGGCCTCCCAGGAGCCCACGAAAGCGTCGCAACCCCTAGGCACGCCCACCCAACAGGCAAGACGGCGAGGCAGGAATCGGGGACCAGACAGCACGAGAGAAGAGGAGAAGGGAACACGGGAAAACAGGAGAGAAGGAGGAGAGGAGGAGGAGGAGGAGGAGGAGGTGGAGACCAAACTGCTCTATTCAAAACGAGAACCCAACACAGGAGGGTTTGGAAACAAATACCCCCAAATAATCAAAAAGATGCAGACCAATCGTCCCCATGCCATGTTTGGAAGATTCCGCCTGCAGAAGGACAGGCCCGGCTTAAGCGTGAGGTCGCTGTGTGTCACCTCGCGTATACTCACGGGCCCAGGACCGAAGGCCTGCCCCCAGCACCGGCCCTCCCTCCTGGACCGCCTTCTGACAGCCAGGTGGCCCGTGGAAGGGGCCCCGCGAGGCCGAAAGCAGCGGCCGAGACCGAGGGACCGCTTCTGTGAAGGGGCCCCGGGACACACAGATGAACATACACACATCCCAGGAGTCCCCATATTCTCACATGTTTTCTGGGTGTTCGTCTTCCCCCCCACTCCCCATCTCTGCCCATGGTTCCCTGGGGATCGACGATTAATGGTGCCTGTGTTTTTCTCCCCTCCTGATTCTAGAGGAACCAAAAACTGCAGAAACATACACTTGGGTCGGGCGAAGGGGGGTCACGAAGTCAAGTCTACTGCATGCAGCTGGTTCCCGCCCCGCCGCCACGCGCTGCTCTCGATACATTGGCGTCTCCGGCGTCTCCGGCGCCGGGAAAATCTGCTAATTACGTGAGGTGAAGTCATATACGACCCGACGCAAGAGCAGGGCACTGCAGATACATGCACTTTCGGCTCTCCACGCGGGTTCCCTGGATCGGCGCTGGGCCCCCCCTCCCTGGCGTGCTCGGAGCGCGCCAGGGGCGGCGCCAGAGCCGCCGCCCAGGGGGGGCCCCGCGCCGATCCCGGGAACTCCGCGCGGACCTCATAGAGATCATCTCTGTGCCGTGCGCTCTCCTTCGGATCTGCGGCGGGGCCGGTCTGCTTCACGGAGACGCGGGGCTGGGCCGCCGAGAAATGGAAGGTGTCTCCGCTCGCGCGCATGCACTTCGGCGGCGAGCGAGGGGGGAGAAGTGAGAAGGAGAAGGCCCTCTCAGAAGGCGGCGGGGCTTCTCAGAAGCCCTCGCGCCTTCCGAGAAGTTCGACGCATCTGCGCGGGAGGCTTGGACAACCTCTCAGAAGGCCGTGGGAAGGCCTTCTCCTTCTCACTCCCCCCCCGCTCCGCCGAGCATCCGTCTGCAGAGATGAGCTCCCTGACGCCATCGGCCGAGCGATCCGTCACCCAAGCCACTTTGGCAACGCGGTCAGCGTCCGCAGAAGCGGACGGCTTGGAGGCAGGCCGCGCAGAGCCATCGGCCAGAGCGGGCACCCCTATGCAGCCGGGCAGAGCACGGCCTCCCCTCGCGGCACGGGCAGCGATCGAGCACACTCGGGGGCGGCCAAGAGGGGGGCGTGCAGGAGGGGGGGGCGCAAATCATGGCCGGCGGCATGTGCGCGGCCCGGGGGGGGGGGGGGGGGCAGAGACGTACTGAAACAAGAAAAGGCGCCATGAAATCTGGGCCCACGCCATGATATCCACCCCCTCTTGTCATCGCCCCCCTCGTTGCCGCCCCCGATACACGCAAGAGTAGTTAACCCTGGGCAAGAAAGACTTTTGGTGCGCGGCTTAACGGGAGACACGGGGGAACCAAACACGATCGCGCAAGCAGCTGCCAGTGAATCGAACTCGACGACCGGGGGCCCCCCGTGGGCCCGCACCACAGGTCACTCCGGCAAAGGGTCACTCTTATACGTGAAAGCGAAGCGAAAGCAACGCGCGAAACAAACCGGCCCTGCAGGAAGTCGGAAGAAGAACACACGGCATACAGACCACGTCTCGGAGCTCCGCGCGGAGATCCGAATGCTTCTGGTTATGCCAACGCTCCTTTCTCAAGAAGGAGGGGGTGGGGAGTCAGCTAGCGTGGCAGGCTTCCACGGCGCCCCCCGGCGCAGGAGGGAAGAGCGCCCGGCGGAGCGCGGCCGAAACCAGCTGCACGCAGATGCCCAGGGGCCTTCCCCAGGACTGCTCGCTTGTCCGGAGTCGTGCTCTGACGACCCTGAGCTTAAGTCGGGCGTGCCCCCCTACAGGGGGATTTTGGGCGAAAAATGAAAAAATACCCAACCAATACTCCAAACATGCTCACACAAATACTAAAAAAACAGTCCCCATGAACTATTTTTGAAGATCCCTCCTGTAGAAGGACAGGCCCGACGTTAACCCTGGGCCCCGGGAAGAGGCAGCAGGGCGCGCGACGAGCGCAAGCGAACGCGGCGGGCGCCTGCTCGGCACCTGGCGCGGCCAGGGAGGGAAGCGGGACCGGGGGAGCCGACGCAGCATCGATGGCACGCCGCCGCAGGGAGTCCATCAGCGTGCTTCGAGCAGGGACCGCCCGTCCTGGCATTCCTACAGGCCTACGGCGACATGTTCGTAGAGCCCCAGAATGTTCTACGAGCAAAAGCAATGCTCGTAGAACAGAACAGAAGCCCGGTGTCGTAAAACAAAACACAGCCAAACA